CCCTTCAGTTAATCTGTTTGCAAATCCCAAGACTCAGCAACCCCCTCCCCAGGCCATGTCCACACCCCCACAGCTCACCGACTGGGCGGCACTGCCGGTCCTACCCGCCCCCCAACCCAGCGTTCAAAGCCCCACTTGCAGCTGGCTGAAGGGCACGATTTTCCCTCCCCTTGGCAGAGGCCCCCTTGCAGCCCCAGGGCCCCCTTCTCCAGCAGGAGATGCAGGTATGCACCCTTTCCTCTTTGCCATGCTAGAACATGCTGGAAGCACATCTTCCGCCATGAGACCAGCCTGTCCCAGACCCAGTGGGCCTGAGACACAGACAGCCTTTTTTAAAACATTTATTTTTAAAACTGTGGTAAAATAGACATCACATAAAATTTACCATTTTAGCCTTTTTTAATGTACAGTTGGGGGGCGTTAAGCACATTCACACTGTTGTGCAGCCGCCGCCGCCACCATCCACCTCCAGAATATTTTTTTCTCAAACTGAAGCTCTGTCCCCAGAAACTTTCACTCCCATCCCCCTGCCCCAACTCCTGGCACGCAGGGACGTTCTGAGGGTGGGATGTCCGGGCGCCGCCGGGCCAGGGGCACCACCTGCGCCCGTGCATCCCCCAGCCCCCTCGCGGGGCTCCAGGCAGGGTGCAGAGGCCGGTTCTGAGCGGTGCCCACCCTGGCCTGGCTGGTAAAGCTGCCCCTGGGGGTCTCCTGAGTGCTCCAGCTCCAGTCTCAGCTCCACCCGCATGGGTCCTCGGTGCCTCCCCCACGTGATCCCTCCATGTGTTTGTTTCCTTCAGGGGACTTGTATTTCTTCGTGGGACAGGCTCCAATGAAGTCGTTAATCAGGGAGATGGAGGGGCCATAGCAGTTCTCCACGTGCCAGGACTGGCTGATCAGCCTGATGCTGGTGTCCCTGGCACCCGAGGAGGTGGAGGAAGGAGGAGGGGGGAGGAGGGAGGAGGGGGGAAGAGGGGAGGGGGAGGAGGGAGTGGGAGGAGGGAGAGGGCATTGTGGGAAACGGGCAACCGTTCCCTGGCAGCAACACTCTCCAAGTAATTAGTTTTTAAACCCAGCAGACAGTTCAAGACCCACTCACTCTGGGCAGCTTTAATCATTCATGGTCCCTCTTTACTCTCATTATTTACAGCCGACAGGAAGAAAGATGCTCTCTCCCTGGGCTCTGGGCATCCACTCAGCTGCAGTCTTCTCTGGGGATCCACAGCTTGCCCAGGAAACGGCAGCCGAACGGCGGCCCAGGACTCTCCAGGGACCTGCGGAGGGCTGGCCAGGGGCCCCGCCTGGAGGACTTGGGGCATCAGTGTCCTGGGGCGGGGGGGGACCAGGCAGGGGCACAGCAGGAGAGTGGCTGGGGCTCACACACGTGGGAGAAAGGAGGGCGGTGGGGCCAGCCTTGCAGGGGTGCAGGGAGGGGCTTGGCTTGGGGTAGACTCAGCCCGGCTGGCCTCCCCACCCCCTCTGCCGCTTCCAGCCTCTGGCCTCCTGGTCCCCTCCAACTCCATGCTCCCCCCGACTCAGGCCTTCACACAAAGGAAGCCCTGTCTGATGCCTACCCCATCATGGGCCGGGTCCCCCATTATACGACCTTCCAGGCCTGGACCTTCTCCCTCGGCACTTACCTCGATGGACAATGACCACAGGGCTGTTTGTGGCTTCCTGGTCTCTCCTGAAACTGAGGGACTGGTCAGGGTCACCTCGGCCCATGAGTGACCCAGGGCAGGGCCAGGGACCATTGCATCCACCCCTCCATCCCCCACCCACCCCCTCTAGCCTCTGGGGCGTCTCAATATGTGATTGACGGGGTGACCTGCTGGGGTCTCCCTGGCAGACCCATTCAAGAGATGCCCGGCTGCCTACCTGAATCTATGTGGAAAAGGAGCCCAGAAATGAGCATTTCGGTAATATGGTCATAGCACTGTTCTGTGCCGTGAGCCCTGAGCTCCGTGAGACCGTCACATGTGAGACTCTGATGGTTGGTGTGCACGACTTCACAAGGATGCTTCGCCCACCCACACACCAAACCGCAGTAACGAGAGCCTCAGTGGAACCGGGCAGGAGGAGGAAGGATGGGTCAACACAGTCCTGGGGTCCCTCCTGGCTCTGGGCTACACAGGCCCTTTCAGCGTGGGCTTCTGAACCATTTCCAGTAGCTTCTGCAAGCAGGCACCTCTCTCATCTGTGAGAAGGACAGGGAAGGCTTGCACCCCTCCGGCCTTCTGGGCACAGCCCACAGACGACGGGGGTGAAAACGGAGCAATCCTCACTTAATAAGACAGGTGTACGGGATGGACTAAGGTATCGCCATTAAAATCCTGTTTTCCAAGAAAACACGAAGTGGGAAAACCCTCACTGATAGGAAGTGAAAACGTGGGTTACAAAAGGATGTGCTCGATGTGAGCTCAGTTTTGGAAAGACAAACACAACAAAGTTTGCCGATGCATTTAAAAGCGCTTCTTTATCTCCTACACAGTAGCCGGTTGACTGGCAACTGTGGGTTTCTGGGTTCGCTGTTAGGGTTGTTGTTTTCTGGCTTTTCTCTGTTTTTCACACTTTCCTCAGGAAGCAGGTGTGGCTAATAGTATCAGAAAAGCCAGGACATCTTACTTTCTGGAAAGGCCAGCGCCCTCAGAGTGGGGGCAGGGCTGGGGTCTGCAGCCAGCCTGGATCAGCAGAGGGAACCACAGCCTCCCCGGGACTCTCCAAGGACAGGCTCCCAGGTTTGGGCGCCTCACGGCGACACTCTCATCAGTGACTGACCCATGTGCTGGCGTTAGGCCGGCGTCCCTGACACAGCTGGGTCTGGCCCCTCCTGACTGGGCCTTGGGGCAGTGCACACATCTGGAAAGTGTTCTAGGCGCCAAGGTAGGAAATGCATCTGGTCTGCTGAGTCCCAGTTTTCACCGTCCGAGACACCCGAGCTGGGCCCAACCTACTTGGAGGGCTGTCCCCCTTCTCCTTCCTCAGGGGGAGGGGTGGGGGAGAGCAGGGAGAAGGGGAGGGCCAGGGACCTCTGCAAAGTGGTCCCTGAGACAGGAGGCCTCCAAATCCCTCAGCTGTGCACACTGGGCTCTCAGCCTCCCTCCTGCCCCCCGACTTCCTCTCCTCAGCACCCCTAAAACCATATCAAGCAGGATACAAAGCAAAGCCCAGGAACCACCAGAGTTGGCACTAGGGAGGAAGATGGTGGGCTTTTCATTTCCTGGTGGGGTATTTTATTTTTTTTCTGGCATTTTCCACATTCCACATTGTCTACTTTGTCTATGTTACTTTGGTAGTCAGAAAAGTAATGTTTTAACAATGAGGAGGGGACATCCATAAATATAGATCTGAAAGGAGACCCCCCCCCAGTCAGCTGATTTCCATCTGGCTTCTCCCCCAGGTGGAGGCCACCTGCTATGGATCCTCACCGGATGCAAGGACACACACAGGGCAGGGTCTGGAAAAGCACCCCACCCCAAATTGCCTGTTGTTTTAATCATTTTCCTGGCTTGTTCAAACCCTGCAGCCCAGAGCAGGGAAGGCATGAGCACAGGACACCTGGTCACCGCAGCCCCTTGGGACATCCCACCCCCACACAGGTGTTCAGAGCCAGCATAACGCTATGGCTTGTCCTTGGGGCCTCCTGCTCACCCCCAGGATGTCTTGGCAACAGCCCAGCCCAGACCTCGCAGCTTCGTAGGAGCCCCTTGGGCCAAGGAGTCCACAACCAGGACCCTGAGCGGTGGGAGAAGGGTCAGGGTGGTGTGGGGTCTACACAGGGTGAGCAACTTGTCCGGCTCACCCAGGACCTTCCCAGTTTTAGGGCTGAAAGTCCCAGATCCCTGGAAACCCCACAGGGGCAGGCAGACCGGGACAGTTGGTCACCACCCGGATCTACAGGGGATCTGCTTGGCTTGGGTGGGGGACGAGCCCCCATCACCACAGGCATTCCCCGGGTTACCTTTGGATGGGCAGAGCTGGTGTCCTGGTCGCCGCCAGGCTGGCGCGTGAGGGACCAGGAGCGCCAGGGGCAGGGAGCCGGCCAGACACGGTAAGCCCCTGGGGTGGGGCGGGGGGGGAAGGAACCAGATTGTAGAACGGAGATCAAGGCTTGGAACCCATGTTGGGCCCTGGAGAGGGTCAGGCCCAGAGAGTGCAGCTGCCGGATGCGGATGTCCAGCAGAGGCGAAAATGGGGACAGTTTCAGTCTGGAGGTGGGAGGGAGAGCTTCAGAGCTGGAAGAGTCCTGAGATGATGACCCCGCGGCCCCCACCCCTGGGCTGACCCTGTCTTCCTCCTGTACCCCCAGCGGACGTCAGCAGCGGGGGGCACCTCAGAATCCAGGAAGCAGATGGTCCACGTGGCCACTGCCCATTGATTCATTTGGACACGAAACCCATTTACTTTCTGCAGAACGAGCCAACCTGCCTGACGGAAGGGCTGGGGTGGCCCGAGGGGCTGCAGTAATCCTCTCCCAGCTGGTCCACAGCAGAGCAAACCTTGACCCCTCATCATCTGAGCCCTGCTGCAGGGCCCTCTGCGGCTGCCTCGTCCTTGAGACCCAGTGATGGGGTGGGGGTGGGGGTAGGGGATGCCCTGGGTTGAACAGCACCCACCCCCCAAATTCATGTCCTCTCAGAACCTCAGAACGTGGCCTTATTTGGGAACAGGGTCTTTGCAGATGTAATTAAGGATGAGATGAGGCCATCCTGAAGATGGGCCCCAAATCCAACGGGAGTGCCTTACAAGAGATCTGTTTCTCATCTGCAAGGACAAAGCAGGCCAGGGGAAGGACGGCCCGCCGGCACCTCGATCTCGGACTTGGGGCCTCCGGAAGCGGGAGGGAATGGATTTCTGTTGTGCGGTGGTATGTCATGCACAGCAAAGGGCTCGGCCCCGAGAGCCCGCGGGGGTGTGCAGAGACATGCGCCCCCGGCAGCCTCCACTCGGGGCCACGGTCTCAGCTACTGACCAGCTCCTGGGGCTCAATCTGGTAGGGCGAGATTCCAGAAGAGAAACTTTATTTCCGACAATACAGGAACGAAAGCCACTTGCGGCGCCTCCGTGTGGGCAAGCCTTGCCCCTGGCTTTCCACGTACACGCGGGCTTCCGAAGCCCCCAAACGCGGCGCCCCGGCACGAGGCTCAGCAGCCCCCAGAACCGCGGCGACAGCGGCTTCCTCCCCAAGGAGAACCGTGCCTCTGGGGTCTGGGAGAGGGGCACGTCCCCCCCGCCACGTTCGCGTTCGGACATTTATTTCAGGAAATACAGTTTCAACACTTTGTTATTTATACAAAAAGACGAATTTCTCAGGAGGCACAGAGCAAAAGGCCACTGTGGGACAGAAGCCAGTGAAAAGTCACGATCTGTCACGATCTGGCTACAGAGAAGGAAAGCGGGTCCGTCCCGCCCGGGGGGCTGCCCCGCGCCCTCGCCCCACCACTGAAGCTGGAGGTGTCCTTCGAAATCTTGGTTTTGGCAAAAACATGGCAAGTCGGCAAGTCAATGGTTTCGCTGAGGGGTCCTTCCTGTCTCAGGTGGGGAGTGAGCACACAATGCAAGGACATCGTACACACACGCACACGCGCACACGCACACCCTGCACAGGCCTGTCTGCATCCCCTTCCTCCCGCTGCTTGCAGACAGACGTGTACCTCCCCTGTGTCTAATCTCATGACCTGCGCCAGCCCCCTGGCTCTCCAGAAGGCAGGGAGAAGCACCTGCCTTCTGCCGTGCGTGGAGACGCAGGGTGAGGGAGCGGGAGTGACCGGCCAAGCCCTGCTCGTAAAACCCCGGGCTGCAGCCCGATGAGGGGCCATGCACACCTGCCTCCTGACCTCTCCCTCTTTGGGGGGGCGGTGCGGTCTTTACGATGGGCTCTGGGATGCAGGAGCCCAGGAACATTTAGGGCGACGAAAAGCTTCTGGGGTCAAGGTCAGCGAGGCCTGGGCCAAGAAGGCTGAATGTGTACCTGGGGTGGAGCATCTTAGGCCAGAGATTTCTGAACAGACAGACAGACGGACGGACAGAAACACACTCTCCCAGTCACGAGGGACGGTGCAGGGCAGGCCCTGGGGTCACGTGGGCGGCTCTGAACAGGCCCGGCCCCACACAGCACCCCCCTTTCCCACATGGTCGCCTCTTCCTCCCTCAGCTCCTCCACCAGATTCACCTGCTTGGACCTTCCCCCAAAGCATGGGGGTGGGCTGGAGTGGGGTGCATCTTTTTCCTTCCTTTGCATGCTCAATCAAATCCTGGGCGGGGGGAGGCGATGGAGAGATGAAGACACAGCTCCCTCTCTCCGACTTGTCCCCAGTTCCCAGTGCCGGTGACGGGGACAGCGGGGGAGAGAAGGCTGGCTCGTGGACGGCTGATAAAGGCACTTTCTGCTCCAGGACGGGCTCGCAGGTGGGCGGCAGGCGATGTGCCTCCCGGTGTCTAAGCAATTGGCAACCTGCATCTCATGGAATTAACTATTCTCCCCTGGGGGGAGGGAGGGGCAAGGGCGGGGGCTCTCTGAGTTACGGGTCTGGGCCGCGTAGAGAGGGGGCAGGAAGGGGCTCCGGGGCGGCCAGGCCAGCTCCCCTGCACAAGCCTGCCTCACTCAAGAGGCTGGGGCCAAGTGCAACCCGGAGCTGGGCCTGCAGTTGGGGGGTGGGGGTGGGGGCTGGCACCGAAGCCGCGGGTCCCCTCCTGGCCGTGGCCCAGCCTCTCACAGACCTCGGGGACGGCCAGAGGGACGGCCTCCTGCCCGAGGCCCCACCCGGTCCAAGCCCCACAGTCAGTGGCTAAGAATGCACATACTCAGGAGGGCACACGTGATCTTGTTACTTGGCGGCGTGTAAAGGGGCAGAGAACGATGACAAGTGGAGAAAATTATATAAAATAAAATGGGGCATGTGGGTGGGCCTGGGGGTGGTGCTGGAAAGGACTGGGGGGCAGGGTCCCGGGGGCAGGGTGGGTCTACATCTCCTGGGCTTCGGGCCCCTTCTCCTCGACGCCGTTGGACATGGCATGGCTGCCTTCGTGCAGACGCTTCACCCGGTACGCTTCGAAGTGGATGCTGCTGGTGATGTCCTTGATGTTCTGCATGTGCGTCCTGGGGGGACACAGGGAGCTCACGGATGCTGATCCCGCTGGGTCGGGCCCAGGACTCCCACTGCCTGCCCCCCTTGCACCCCATGCCCCCTGCTTGGCTTTCAGGGGGCCCCCGGGAGGGCTTGTAAGGCCCAGCGAGCTGGCCCAGGCCTGGGTATGGCAGGGATGTGGGGCCGTCCCCATGGTGACCCAGACCTTCTCCCAACAGCTCTGTTATAATGCACGTGTCCCCTCTATCTGTGTCAAGCCTGTGGCCAGTGCAAGGGTAGGGGCTGGGTGCACAATCAGAGGGGACAGCGCCGGCATGTCCTTGCTGCCATCGAGAAGCACCAGGCCAGTGGCCAGTGGGGGACCACCGGCCCCTTCCCCAACCCCTTCCCATCCCCTTCCCATCCGGGTGCTCTGCCACAGACTAAGAAGGCTCTTTACTTCCTGCTTCATTTCTACGGAGGTGTTTTAGACGATGGGCTTCCGAGGTCTTCCTGAGGGAGGACGGGCCAGCTGCTGACCAGGACCTCCGCCTGCTCCCCCAGTGCCCACGCTCCTGATTTAGGGCCCTATCGGGGCCTTTAGGGGGCCAAGGCCGACACCCCACAGCCCTCTCTCACCTGATAAGGAGGTCCCGAAGGTAGGCAAACTCACAGTGGGTGGTGTTCTCAACTGAGGAGAGGAGACAAAAGGAGCTTTAAGGTCACTCGAAGCCCCTGCCCCCAGTAGTTCTGGTGCCAAGAGGACCCTGGGCAGGTGGGTGGTGGGGGCAGGAGTCACTGCCCCACAGGGGAGCCCTGGGCACCCACAGGCACGTAGGCCTGACCAGGCACCCGCCCTCCGGAGGGGTCCAGTCAAATGGGAACCAGGGGGAGTCTCCTGGGAAGAGCAGCATGTCCCACGGACCCTGAAAACGAGGGTGGGGGGTGGCAATGGAACAAGGCAGGGACCGAAGGTGGCATTTCGAGAACCTGTGCCCCCGCTGGGCGTTCTCCCACATGCGTCACCATTTACATCGAGCTCAGGAACCCTACATTGCCGGCCACACACAGACGTCCAAAGCACGGGCTGCAGGGCAGGGGTTAGCTCTGGGGACGTGGGAAGACGGGGCAGGCAGGTGCCCCCAGGTGCCCCCAGGTCCCCTTGAGCGGCACCCTGGTGGTGGCTTGGGGCCGGAGCTGGTGGCAGTCTCCCTGTTCACTTTAAGGCTCTGCTGCGTGACTCACGTGCGTAATTACCCCGTACATGCAGACCCTTTAACGGGCGGCGAGTGGCGCCATCTGCACCGAGGCGGGCGGGCACAGAGGTTGAATGGAAAGGCGTCAGGTGCAGGGCGCCTGCACGCTTAACCCAATCGTCTAACCCACGCACCCGAGACACCACTATGGCTCCTCTTCTGTGGTCTCAGGGAATCGGGGCTCAGAACGCAGGGAATGAGCCTATCTCCCCCCCCCACACACACCCTCCAATAAGCTGGCAGGCAGGGCTGGCGAGAGAAAGCCCCAGCGCCTCCACCTTGCAGAGCCCTGGGGCGCTCCTGATGTTGTTCCAGCTGCGGCTTGCCTGGGTTCCACCCTCCACACCCCTGGTCCTCTCCCATGTCCCCACCCACACGGGCGGGGCCCACACTACAACCTTCTGCGGACGGACTCTCACGTAGCACTGCTACCCGACGTGGGGAAGCGGTGAGAGCCGGCAGGAAGAACAGAGCCCTGCCGCTTTTCCTGGCCTGGGGTGACTTATCCCGGCCTCTCTGACCCTCAGTTTCCTCTTCTGTGAAGTGGGGCTCAAATGTCACCTACCTCTCAGGGACGCGAGAGGACTCGATGAGTCAGTTAACCGTGTGCTTTCTTAACACCCCACCTCCTCCTGAAGACGCCGGGTAGTTTCCGAGGAGGGGTAAACCATCTCAGGATGGCGCACACCAAGTGGGGGGAAGGTCAGAGAAGGAGGAGCAGGGATGCGCGGGGCAAGAGCAAGGCAAAAGCGTGTGTTAACCAGGCTCGCCGGGGCGAGCACAGAGCGGCCCGTCCTCTGGTCAGTTACGAGCGCACAAGGCCCCAGAGATAAAGAAAGAGCCGCCAGGGCGCTGGGGAAGTTCAGCTACACAGATGGGGGGGCAGAGATTTCCTCCAGGTCCTCATGAAGACTGCAGGAATGGGAGACCCGCCCCCTGGCAACCGTCCCTACAGGCGCCACGGGGCTGTTTCTCACAACCAACGCACGGTGAGCCTGCAGGCCGGAGCGGGCCGCCAGGGGGCAGCAGAGGCGCGTGCATCCCTGGGCTGCCCCCAGCGCTCTCCGGCATCCGCCCCACGGGCCTTTCTTATCTCACACTTCTCCAACCTCGGGAACAGGCGCCTGCGAAACAGTTCCTAAACAGCAACATTTCAGGACGAGGCGGAGCCAAGGCAGACGAGCCCAGGTAAAGCCTGGTGGAGGACAGCCTTCATGGGACAGGATGCCGAGCGGTCCCCACAGAGACGCCCCTAAAGGAGGGGAGAGCCGCGGCAGGAGAGAGCCAGCAGACACGGGTGCAGAAAACACCATCCTGCACCCACCCACCAGCACCTACGTGGGCGCCCCGAGGCAGGTCTGTGTACCGCGCCACGCCTCCCCCAGGCTTTAGCAGTGCAAGGGTGGGCCCTTGGGTGCCACAGCCTGGGCCTCTCTGCAGGAGGGTGCAGGGACAGCCGGGGGTGGGGGGGCGGGGGGGCTAAGCATGCAGCAAAGTAACGCGTGTAAAGTGAGCCAGCATGGGGGGGAGGGGAGGAGGGAGGGAGGGAGGGAGGGAGGAGAGAGGGAGGGGGCTCGCTCACTGGCCGGATTTCACGGTGATCGCTTTCTTAGAGCATCTGCTGCCCCAAAAGCTCTAAAAGTCTTTGAGACATTCTGTCATTTTTACTAAAGTCTTGGCACATAGTACCCATTTTAAGGATGGTGAAAGCTGAGGCCCTGGGGGATTAAGGGACTTGCCCAATTTCACGGCGGGAGGGCGGGGCGTGGGGGTTGGTGAGCACCTTCCCGACCTTGTCTACGCTGGCCCTCAGCCACGGGATCGAAGACAAAGTGGCCCATCTCAAACTACCCCTTCTCCCTCCTCTGTTCAGAAGAGGGAGGGCGGAACAGAGTGGAGGGGGAAGAAACGCCCAGGTGCAGCCCAGCTTGGGCGCCACCACCCGAGGGCGTTCAACTGTGTCCCCCAAACCATGTCCACCTGCCAACTCCCTCGGGACTTGTGAATGGCAGCTTACTTGGAAAGAGTTTTTGAATTCACACTTAAGATAAAGAGCGTAAAAGGGGATGACCCTGGGTTTCGGGTGGGTGCTAAGCCAATGACAAACGTCCTTATGAGGAAAAGACAGTCAGTCAGAAGGCTGAAGGCAGAGTGGGGGTTGGGGACAAGCCGAGCGACGTCAAGGACGGCTGACAGCCACCAGGAGAGAGGCCTGGAACACATTCTCCCTCAGGGCCTCTGAAAGGAACAAACCCTGCTGACACCTTGACTTCTGGCCTCCAGAACCATGAGAAGAAATTTGTTTCAAGCTGCCCAGTCTGTGCTAATTTGGCACAGCAGCCCCAAGACAAGAAGATGTGGGGGTCCCGGGAACTTGTGCAGGGGGCGGGCCGTCTGGTTCTCAGAGCTGGACAGAGCTATAGCCCAGCCCTGTCCTAGGCCCAGAGAGGTGGAGCAATTTGTCCAGGGTCACGCAGCACGGCCATGAAACAGCAGGACCAGAACCCAGGACTTGGCAGGACCCCTCATGGCTCCTTCCTTTCCTCTCTGGATACTGCCCTGCCCCCAGGAGATCGGGGTGAAGGGACTGCTCCATCAGCCAACGGCTGCGGGCCCTGGACAAGCCACTTGCCCCCTCCCAGTGGCTGAGTGATGCAATGCAACAGATGAGGTCCCAGGAGCACCCGGCTGAGGCCTCGGTGCCCAAGCTCCGGGCCAGCAGAGGCAGCTTGAGTTTTCTGATCTGTCTGGAGGCCCCAACAGCTTGACGATTACCTTCGATGGTGCCCCATTTGGTTTTCCGTCCAAGGATCCTCTTCCCGTTCACTTGGTACTCGTGGTCACTGCCCACCACGGCGAACGGGATCATCTCCTGGGGGAGGGACAGGAAGCACTGGTCACATGTGTGCAAAGGCCAGTCCGCTCTCTGGGCCCCGGGGAAGAGCTGCCCTGAGCCCGGGGCCCCCCGGAACAAAAACCCTTGGCCTGAGAGAGCCACAAGTAGCCACTTGGGCTCTGACCCCCTCCGGCCCAGAGAGTACGTTCTCATGGGTCAGGGCCATCCCACCCACCTCCCCAGTCCCACTGGAGCGGGCTGGAAGACCCCGCCGTGTCCTCTAGCAGGAACCGGGGGCCGCTGGGAACGGCATCTGGCCAATCCACTCACTCGGAACTTCTCATTCACCAGCCGGTCCTCCGAGTCCTCGTCAAACTCCTTCTGGGGGTACACGTCGATGCCGTTGGACAGCAGGTCCGCGGTGATCTGGGGATACAGAGGGGAGAGATGTGGGTGCCATTCACACAGCGAGCTGGACTGGCCCACCGGGGTCTGCCTGCGCTGTGACCTCCAGAAAGTGAGGGGGCCCAGCCTGGGGTCAAGGGCAGGCTTTACAGGGTTGGTGACCCTGATACTCCAGTTCTCGTGCCTCCTGAGTGGAGGAGGGGCAGCTGCAGGCCTGCCTGCCAGAAGACACGTGCAGCCACCCGAGCCCCGAGCGTCTCTCTGTCCTCCCTCCCCCGCCCATCACACCCCTGAGACAGCAGCTCCGGGTTGTCGAGATGTCCCTCAAGCTCCACCCAGATACCCTCTGTCATGGCGGGCCCCGGATGCTGCCCAGGACCTCCGAAGCCCAGGTGCACCTGCCTGCGTCAGGCCGTCACCACCGTTTGCGGCACCGGCTCCCCAACACGTGGGTACTCCCGTGCACAGCCGTCATGTCTGCCCTAAGCGCAGACCCACAGCTGTGTGCAGCCTGCTCCCTCCAGCAGACGCATGATGGGAAAGGCACAGTGCTCCCCTCAGCCTGCTGGGAAAACCCCCCGCACCCGGGCCCGGGGCCGAGGCCCAACGCGGGCGTGCGCAGCTTCGGGGAGTAGACCGAAGGGCCTCCTGGCTCTCACCCACCGGGGTGGAGGCTCTGTGGGGCCCGGGGGCCTCGTCCTGGTTGCCCAGGGGGCTCTGACGTGTTAGGAAGCCACAGCCCTGGGGGCGCCCTCCTGTGTGGGCGGCAGCAGGGAAGGAAGATGCGGCCACCTGTCCCCTCGGTGGGGACCACCCCCTCTGGGCTTTCTCTTCCACCTGAGGAAGACCTGGCACGTTGTGTCTGACGGCCCAGATGGAGGTGGGGAGCCCTACCCGCTGTTTGAAGTAGACCCTCTCCTCCAGGGTCAGCGTGTCGGCCTTGGCGATGACAGGAACAATGTTCACTACTTTGCTGAGGCGCTTCATAAACTCGATGTCCAGGGGCCTGAGGCTGGAACAGAATGGCATGGGTGAGCGTTTGGCCGAAGAGGCCGGAGGGATGGGGACAGAATGAGCGCGGCAGGGCTGCCTGCCTCTGGCTGGATGGAGCTGAGAAAGGGCCCTCGGGGTGCCCGTGGGGGCTTCCAGGTGGGGACACACAAGCAAGGCCAAGGCCGTGGGTTGCGTGCCGGCCAAGCCCTGAGCAAGGGACAGGAAAGAGGAAGAGGGCATTCCCCAGACAGAAGCGCCCCCGGGCTGGGCAGGAACAGGCTGGAGACCAGGCCGGCTCTGAGCACCGTCCCGGGGGAGGTGTCCTCTCAGAGAGGACATCGCTCACATGACTGCAGGGCTTCCCTTGGGAAGAAGAGAAGGGAGAAGCAGGAGGAAGCGCCCAGCAGCTCTGGGCCCACCCAGCCAAGCCTCCGGGACAGGCTGCTGTGCCAGGTGTCCCCAGAACCCGGCCCACGGCCCTGGCGTGCCACCCGCCTCCAGCCGGAAACCCGTCCTGAGCGGGCGCGGGGGCAGGATCGCAGGGCCCCTGAACGGCGGCCACCATGCTCCGCCCCGGAGTAAAGCCGCGTCTGCTCTTCCCACACGGCAAGAGTAGCGGTCACAGACACGGCCCGGGGTCTGAAAACTTGGACGGCAAAGAGCCACCCGATCACACAGGACGTGGCCCGCGTGGCACTTACGAGTGGCCGGTGGCAGGGATAAAGTACAGGCAGCAGTGGACGCGCGTGTCCGGGATGCGCTTCTTCCGGTTGATGTTGACCTCCTCCTGCAGGTATTTCTCATACTGGTCGTTGATGAACTTCATGATCGGCTGCCAGCTACAGGGGGAGGCCCCGTCAGCCCGCACCGGGGGACGGCTCCCGCCTGGTCTCCCCCGAATCCCAGCCCGGTCCTCAGCTTTCCAGTAGAACGACCAGGGGTGTGGGGCCTCCTAAGCAGAGACCGCAGCCTTCCCTGAGACCCTCCAAACCAGCCTCCCATGCTGACGCTTGACCCCGGGGGCAGGGAGTGGGACAAGATTCTCAGGGTAACTGTACGTTGGCCCAGGATTTGGGGACCTCTGAGGATTTAGCAGCAAGAGCAGGCCAGGAGACAGGCCCACGGGCCCTTACCAGTTCTCATTGTTGATGTGGTCCCCGAACCCTGGTGTGTCAATGACCGTCAGCTTCATGCGGACGCCCTTCTCTTCAATATCTGCACAGAGTCACAGTGCCCATGAGCTCAGGCAAAGACCCCAGAGCCTTACAGATACCTGGCACGGGCTAGGTCCTGCCCAGTAGGAACCTGACCAGCCCCACCCCAAGGTCCACTTGGGGTGCCCATGGGTGACCAGCGATGGCCCCCCCAGGTGATGCCAGGGAGAGGACCCGCCTCCAGCAGGGGCTGGTGACAGATGTGTTGGGCAGCGCCTGCCCGTGGGTTTTGGTGGAAAACTCAGGTGTCTCTAGGGGGCTCTGTCGGACCAGGGCCTGCAGGGGTCCTGGAGAGCATCCCTGACCCAAGTTTCAACTTGCCCAGCTCAGGACTCAGCACCCCTACACCCCGCGTCGACACCCCCAGCCCCACCCTGGCACTCACCATGCGTGATGGACTTGATCTCAATGGTCTTGGGGATGCGTTCCTCCGAGGTGGGCTGCACTGACTTCCGGCTAATTTTGGACTTGAAGAGGGTATTGATCAAGGTGGACTTCCCCAAGCCACTCTGCCCTGGGGACAGGATGGGAGCCGGTCAGCGGGCCCTGTGGTTCAGCAATACCTGGGCACTGCCCCCCAGCACCCCACAGTGGGGGCCCCAGGTTGGGGGAGGTCAGGAGGCAGGAAGGGCTGGGATGCCCAGGCAGTGGCCCAGCTCCCATGGTGCCTTGGAGCAGGGCAGGACCCAGAGTGCCCAAGAGGAGCTGAGATGCACAGCAGCCCCGGGGAGGCTGACTGGGGGGCCTGGGCCCCCCAGTGCAGCTCTCCTCTTCACAGCTGGACACACCGGGGTCATCAGGTTTGAAGGAAAACTCTACAGAGCCCCAGGACCACAGGAGGGAGGCTCTGCAAACCCGCCAGGGTCCAACCACAGCTAGGCCACCCCACGCTGCAGGGTTCTGGTCCGAAGACCCTGGGGCCGGGCTCATCTAGGTTGGAAGTGCTGGTACACTCGGCATGCAAGGCCTGCAGCCGAGCAACCAGGGGGCTCGGTGAAAAGCCACCGGGGCAGTTCCTGCTGGGGCAGGATGGGGGCCCCCAGACGGTGGGCAGCTGTGTCTCGCTGCCAGGAACAGCCAGCGGCCGGTCCCCACAGCCACAGACCCTGCCGCTGAGACTGACTGGCCAGCAAGCCCCCGGGCCATCAGGCCGCCCCCATGTGGCTCCCAGGCACCTGGGCCCCAGCAGTGTTCCTGGCCTTGCTGTGCCCAAACCTCACCTCACCCGAGCCCTTCCCACAGCAGGAGGGCAGAGGGCAGAGGGCAGAAGCCACGGTGGGGGGAGGGGGGCTCGACTCAGCTGTGACCAGAAGGCCCCTCCTGCTCACAAAGGTCACGGATCTACGGCTGGCCTTGCTGTCGCTGCAGAACCCTAGGCTCCGTGCACAGTGCTCACCGCATTTGCGCTGGGCACTGTCTTAAGTGAGGCTGTTTAATCCCCTCGCATGCCCAGGAACCGTCACCATCCCCTCTGATGGATGAGAAAACCGGCACAGAGCCCAGCGTGGGGATGGGGACCCTGCAGCCTGGCTCCAGGGCCCCGCCATGGCTCTCCACCTCGGGGTCCACACAGGGACTGCCTCACAAGCTCGACCCCACACGTGGAGCCCCCACACCTCACCCCTTCCCGGAGCTGCCCTATGCCATGCTAGCCAACATATTTTAAAAAATTAAATTACACCAATTTTCCGACTTTGACAACCTTGCAAGGAAAAGCGTGGGCTCCCAGGACGCCGTAGGTGGATGTCGGGAATCCCTGGGCCAAGCTGTCTACGTCCCCCTCAGCCCACCTGCTTGTGTCCCTGCCAGGTCAGCCCGGAGCTACGTCAGATGTCCTGGCCACCACGCCGGACATCTGGGAGATGCCGATGGGAACTTTAAAGCGCAAACCGTTAGTAGGATTATCATCTCTACCACCACCCCGCTGCTGCTTCTGCGACTTCCCCACTTCCCCAGGGCCCGTGGCCACGTGGCAGCCACACATGGTGTCTGATTTGTCTCTCCCCATGGCCCCATTTTACGGATGAGTAAACCAAGACTGGGAGAAGCCCCAGGGAAGAGAGGACAAGCACCACGCCGCTGAGTGGGGGCGAAGCCGGGATTCCACCCTGTGTCTGCAGACCCCCAGACAGACGCCCTCCTCCCAGCCCAGCTGCCTCCCTGCTGTGTGAGGGAGGAGGGGGACCCCAGAGCTCGGGCTCTCCCCTAGTGAGCAGAGTCCTTGGCGTGCCCTCTCTGGGCCTCACTGCTGCCTACAAAGTGGGGCACCCTCTTAGCAGGGCTTCTGTGAGGACCGAAAGGGCTTCGGGAACAAGAGGCTGCCCGGTGCTCCCCCAGGTCTGGCCCCCAACCTGATCAAGGTCGGGCTAATCAATGACCTCCCCTGGTGCCCCTCCGGCTCTGCTGGGGCCTCCAGGAAGCCTCCAGCCAGGCTTGCTGGCCGTGGGGGGCCGGCCCCACCCCTGAAGTCCATCCAGGGCTGAGCCACGGCAGGGTGAAGCCGCTGGTCAGCGAGCGGCCGCACTGAGCACCTGCCCGGCCGTCCCGGGTTCCTGCGATGGGGAGCCGAGGCCCCTCTGCGGCGCGGATGGAAGCCGGGGCCCTCCTGGCAGGCACACGGGCGCACACATGGTGCCACGCGCCATCCGCCCCGCAGGCCATCTGTGTCCACCCCCGTTCTCAGAGTAGCAGACTGAGCCCCAGAGCCCGCGGTGCGGGGTCCCGGCGCGGGGTGCGCACTCACCGACCACCATGATGTTGAACTCGAAGCCCTGCTTCATGGCCTTCCTGCGCATCTGCTCCAGGATGGAGTCAATTCCCACATAGCCGAAGTCCGCGGGGGCCTTCTCGTTCCGGGGCGTGGGCGCCTGCTTCAGCCCAGCGTCTCTGGGGGTGTCGGCCATGTCGCCAATGCAGCCAAGAGCTGCCTCAGGGGCTGTGGGGAGACCGGGGGGGGGGGAGCGTCAGGGGGTCTGACATCTGCAAAGCACCTGCATCCTCAGGTGGCTCCAACCACCACCCCCATTTCTCAAACAGGGAAACTGAGGCTCGAGACCCCTGGAGAACACCCCAGACCTAAAGCCCTCCCCGCCCCCCGCCACGGTGCCCACAGAGCCCCACGCTCTCCACCAGTGGCCTACAAGGTGGTGTCCTTCCCTTGGCTCCAAGGCAGAGCTGCCCCCAGCCCTCCTCTTCCCAGCCTCCACCCTGCCCCAGGGCACCCAGGTAGGCCCTCCCCACCTCCTTCACCTGGCTCAAAAGGCCCCCACACCTGCTACAGGACCCTCGGGACCAAACAGCTGAGTGTTTGGGCCAGCCTGTGAGCCAGGACAAAGGAGAGGACAGCCTTCTGAAGAACGAAGGGAGGACCCGGGTATTTGTTGTCCAGCAGCTCCTGGGTGAGGTGTGTTCGGTCCCAGGTCCCACCAACAGCCCCGGATGCAGAGCATGCTCCTCCCGGCCCAGCGGTTCCCAGGCGATGGCAGGCAGGCAGGGCCCTGGGCCAGCTCCCCGCCCCCCACCCTGGACTGGGCCCAGGGGGTTCTTCTCTCTGCCTGGCACCTGTGTGCCCCACACCCACAGGTTCTGCTTTCAGGTCTATGGACAGGCAAATGGGACCGAGCTTCTAAGAAACAACTCAAGCTTCTGCAGTTTGCATATCAGAACCTTCCTCCCTTCCTCCCCTGGCTGTCCTGAGGAGGCCACATGGCCAAGTCAGAAACCTAGAGAAGGGGCGGCCAGAGGCACCCAGGGGGGACATGAGGGGCACTCCCCCAGTGGAGCTGGTCAGGGTGCTCAGGAGAGCATGGGTCCCTACTAGGGCCTGGCAGGAGCACATTGGCCAGGACCCGGTGCACCCCTAGACACACCACACTTGCCTGACACACCTCTCCTCGGCCAGCCCCTCAGTTCCCCTGGCGGCCTTCCCTGCCCTCAACCACTGAGAAGGACTGTCAGCTCCCTCCCACCTCCCAGGGATGCTCACGGGAAGAAAGCCCATGGTGCATCTTGACATCTCCCTGGGCCCCCTCGGGGAGGGGCTGGCTGGTTCCCTGGGTGTCAGCCCCAGAACCCCCTCTTCCGGGTGTACCCCGGGGGCGCAGTGTCAGGCAGCAGGGCACAGGACAGGTAAACTGTTTCCACTTCCTGGGGCAGTGACTGGACTCTCCCCTGCAACGAAACCCTGGTGCCAAACCCCAGTGGGCCCAGCTGGCTTGCGCACCTTGGCGGCCAGACCTCTGCTTTGCAGGAGTGTCTGAGGGAACTGACCGTGGGGGCCAGCACCTTCTCCTTCCGCAAGGAGGATGATCAGCTGATAAATTCCAGAAATCGGAGTGTGGGTGGTTTCTCCACACAACGTCGCACAACGTCGCTCAACTTCCCCGTTTGCTCAGCCTGACAAAGCGCTGTAATTCCTACTTCACAGAATCGGGGGTCAAGCAAATAACAGAGCCCATGTAAAAGCACCAGGGACCGTCGAGGGTCCCCGCTGCCCACCCCCGCTCCCAGGCCGGGGATAGGCAAGGGACCCAGGAGGCAGCGATGACAGCCGTGGGGCCTCCTTCCAGCAGCGCCCGGAAGGCATGTGCCTCTGCTCCCTCCTGACTGTCCCCGAGCTCCAGCATCTTTAAATAAACAAAGACAAGCACCACATCTGGCCTTGAACATGTGGTTGTGGGGCTGCTTCCTGGAGACAGACATGGGGCCTTGTCTTGCAGGCCAGCAGCTCAGCCTGCCCCACGTGACCGAAAATTGCTTCCATCTGCCTGCGGGTCTGGGAGCCATTCGGTCCGGGCCTGGGCCACCCCCCCGCCCACTCCCACATCCATCCCTCATCCCTTCCGAGCCAAACTGGGGGGAGGGGAAAGCGCACCAAGGCCCCTGGAAGCCCCCTCCACTCCCTCCTCTGCTCCAGCTGCCCCTCACCCCCTAGGCACCAACATCCCCTGCAGAAACTCAAACCACAAAGCAAACATCCTGCCCACCAGCACCCTGCTTGAGAAATAACAATAAAAACTCAACAAGCCCCATCCTTCCCACCGACTGAGGGAAGGGCCTGGCCTTCGCACAGGTGGGGGGTCCCTTCCTGCAAGCCCCTCCTCTCCCTGCCCGGAGGGTACCAGTGGTGATGCTAGAGCCCCCGCTCTGCCTGCTCTGCCCAGCCAGGAGGCAGGACCTCCACGCGGGAAAAGCAGAGGCCCCATCAGGCAAACTTGCCTGGAGACACTTTCTCTGAAAACCCTCGCTTTCCACAGAGAGCCACCAGGGACCCGGCTGCAGGAGCCCCGGCTGCTCCAGCTGGCGGGCAGGGATCACAGAGACCATCTCCTCCAACACCGTCCCAAAGGACTTCTATGATGGAAAGACCCCACGCCCACGCTGTCTAAAATATGGCGGCCACATGGGACTATTTTGTTAATTGTGGTAAAATACACATAACATGAAATTTACCATCAACCATTTTAAGTGCACAGTTCAGTGGTGTCAAGAACATTCACACTGTTGTGCAACCAATCTCCAGAACGCTTTCTGTCTTGCAAAACTGAAACTCTCCCCCCACCCCGCCCCTGCAGCCTCTGTTCTACCCTCTGTGAATGTGGCTGGGGACCCCCATAAAAAGAGGAATCTTGCCAGCATTTGTCCTTTGGGAGCTGGCTTATTTCACTTAACAGCATGCCTTCAAGGTTCACGCACACTGCAGCAGGTATCGGGATGTCCTTCCTTTTTAAGGCTGAGAGTCCCTGGTGTGGCCAGGGCACATTCTGCGCATCCGTTTGTCCCTCGATGGGCGCCCGAGTTGCTTCTGTGTTTTAGCTCTTGTGAGTAATGCTGCTATGAACACAGGTGTGAGAATACCTCGAGACCCTGCTTCCAATTCTTCTGGGTAACTCTCCAGCAGTGGGATCGCTGGGTCATACGGCATTCGTATTTTTAATTTTTTGAGGAACTGCCACCTGTTTTCACACGTGACTTCTGAGCTGGAAATGCAGCCGGTCCAACCGAGGAACTGAATTTTTCATTGTATTTAATTTTAATTATTTTACATTTAAAAAGGGACACAGGGCAAATGGTAAAGATACTGGACAGCACGGAAGTCTAGTTCAGCCTACTTCTTTTGTAAATGGGGAAAATGAGGTCCCCAGATTTGTTTTTTCCCCCTGAAACGCCATCAGAAGCAGCTAGGCCAACACGCGATAACCTTCACGGCATTTATTCAACCCCGAAGCCTCACATTCACTGCTGTGCCGTGTGATTACCGTCCATGTCCCCCCAGACACACCGTGAGCCCCAGGGAGCATGGTAGTTGGCCTGGGTGGATCCCCCCTGTACATCCAGAGCTGTACAGGGAGGGAACACTCAATCAAGACCCGTGGAATGACTGGGGTCTTGGGAGTGTCCCCTTGGTGCAGGCTGGGTGGAGGGCTCTGCGGTCCCAGGCTGGCCCACAGCCCTGCCACGACGGTGGTCAGACCTGTACCCAGTCCACTTCCCCCGGCGACCTCTCCCTGGGGCTGGGGCCTCACCTTCTTTCCCATGGCCCCGCACCTGAATTTGTGTTTCCTACCCGAACTTCATGAGATGCTATTAATAGCAAAGGGATGTTCCTCACAGAAAAGGAAGTTTCACGTTTATGTCCCAGATGACTCTCTCTGCACCCTCATCAGCTAAAGAGAACAAGAGGGAGCCCCATTTTTTTAAATATTATTTATTTCAGAGAGAGCATGAGCAGGAGGGGCAGAGGGAGAGAGAGAGAATCCCAGCAGATTCCATTCTGAGAGTGGAGCCCGACATGGCGTTTGATCCCCCGACTCTGAGATCACGACCTGAGCTGAAACCAAAAGTTGGATGCCCAACCAACTATGCCACCCAGGCACCCCAAGCCCCATTTTTAAAAAAGATTCTCTTTTTAGGTAATCTCTACACTCAGCATGGGGCTTGAACTCACAACCCCGAGATCGAGAGTCACACACTCCACTAACTGAGCCAGCCAGGTGCCCCAAGGGAGCCCCATTTTTTAAAAGTGTAAAACTCAAGTTCAGAGAGGTTAAGTAATTTACTCATGGTCACACAGCACTGCCTGCCTTCTCTCACTGTTTCTGCCTGCCTCTCAGGCAAGGCAATGTGGAGAGAGGGCAAACTGCCAAGCCCATCCTTCCCCTCCTCAGAGGAGGATGCCGGTTTGCTCTGGAGGTGTGGGCCCCGGTGCAGCCTCACTCCCTCCCCAGCAGCCCCAGGTCAACAATTTCTCCACCTCCCAAGGCTCTCAGGCCCAGGGTGACGTCATTGCCCACCAGGCCACCAACCTCCCCCAAGGAAGGAAGGCCTGAGACCACCCAGGCTGGGATGACCCTACACACTGGCTTATACCTTCCTCCAGCCTAAGTATCCTCTTGGTTGTGGTAACATTTACGTAACAGAAAGTTTCAACCATTTTAAATCATGTTTCGGTGCCTGCTTCCGTGGCCTGCAGCCCATCCACGATGGCCACCACCATCTACCTCCAGAATGTTTCCATCACCCTCAACAGAAACCGCGCCCGCCGACCTGTAACTTCCCCTGCCGCTCCCCCAGTGGCCTCTAGTCGACCTTCTGACTTTGTGGATTTGACTGGTCTACAGACCCCACGCAGCCCTGCCCTGTGTCCAGCTTCCCTCCCCGAGCCTGACGTCCTCAGGGCGCATGCGTGTTGCAGGAGGTGCCGGAATGTCCTTCCTTTTCACGTCTGAATAACATTCCACTGTTTATTGTTCATCCGCCAGTGGACACTTGCGCTGTTTCCCCCTTTTGTAAATGATGCTGCTGTGAACACGGCTCTGCAAGGATCTGAGTCCCTGCTCTGAATTCTTGTGGGGTATCCAGCCTAATTATTAACAGAACCCAGGTGACCCTCAGAGAGGCACAGTAACTGCCACGGTCATCCTACCGTCAGAGCAA